AGGCTTCCAAGGCCGGCTGGGAGTCGGATATCTTCGTCGCGAGCACGCTCGTGGATTTCTACGCGAAGTGTGGCCACATGACAGAAGCTAGCAGGATCTTCTCCAGGATGTCTCACCACGACGTGGTGTCCTGGACGACTTTGATACTGGGCTACGCTGAGAACGGGGAAGGAGATGTAGCTCTCGAGCATTTCTTCCGGATGATCGCGCAGTGCTGCCAGCCAAACGCTCTCACTTGCGTCGCGGCGCTCAAGGCTTGCATGACGCTGGCAGCGAAAGAACAAGGGAGGCTGGTCACTGGAAAGGTGGTGAAGCTGGAATCACTTGGAAAGGGAATGGCCGTGCACCGCGAAGCGTCCAAGCTCGGCTGTGACACACACACGTTCGTCTCAAACTCACTTGTGGACATGTACTCCAAGTGTGGAAGCATGGCCGACGCTCACCGCGTGTTTTCCTGGATGCCGTGCCACAGCGTGGTTTCCTGGACGTCGCTGATACTGGGATACGTCGAGAATGGCGATGCTGAAATGGCTCTAGCGGTTTACTCGAGCATGAGGCCGGAAGCTTGCGCACCAGACGCCAGGACTTTCGTTGCGGCGCTAAAGGCTATCAACGAGCTGGCTGCGAAAGAGCAAGGCGAGCTAGTCGACGGGAAGCTTGTGAAGCTCGAGTGCCTGAAGAAGGGGATGCGGATTCACTCGCAGGCCGAGGGAAGCGGCTGCGCAGACTACTTCTTCATCAACACACTGGTGGACTTGTACGCGAAGTGTGGGAGTTTGGCCGATGCTCACCGTGTCTTCGACAGCATTCCCTCCCAGACATCAGTCTCGTGGACAACGCTACTGCTGGGATACGCCGAGAACGGTGAAGGCGAGATGGCTTTGGAGCTCTTCCGGCGTATGAGACCTCGAGGATGCGAGCCCGACGCTCGGACCTTCGCGGCCGTGCTGAAAGCATGCGGCAGCGTTTTGGCACTCGAGAACGCGAAGGCCATCTGTGGTGAAGTCTGTAGAGGTGGCTACGAGAATGACGTGATTCTATCCAACACCATGGTCGACGCATTGGCGAGATGCGGGAGTCTGGACGCTGCACAACGAGTCTTCGACGTTTCCATCGCCAAGGACATCGTGCTATGGACGACGCTTATAGCAGGATACAGCCGCCAAGGCGAGGCAAGCCAGGTGTTTCATCTCTTTCACGAGATACTGGACGAAGGCTTCAAGGCGGACAGCGTGACTTTGCTGTGCGTGCTCGCGGTTTGCAGCTATGCCGGCCTCGTGGACAAAGGCCGGGGTCTCTTCAGCTCGATGGCTTCCAGATATGGCGTCTCTCCCGGCTTCGAGCACCACCACTGCATGCTCGACATACTTTGCCGTGCCAACCAGCTGGATGCTGCCGTGCAACTCATACGATCGATGCCTTTCGAGCCGACTGCGGTGACATGGAGGACGGTCCTGGGTGCTTGCCGGAAGTGGAAGAATGTGGTGCTTGGCGAGCTCGCTTTCGCGAATCTACTGAAGCTGGACGACTCCGAGTTTGGAGTCTATATCCTGATGGAACAGATATACTGGAGCCTGGGAATGTGGGAGGAGCACGCCAGGATCGAGACAATGAGGATCAGTGCTGGAGCTTGGAGAAAGCCCGGACAGGGTCGCAGCTGGTGGACGGACAGCGCGGGAGTGGTGCATAAGTTCTCGGCTGGTGATTCTAGCCACGCACAGATTGACGAGATCCGGGCGAAGCTGGACGATCTCCTGGTGGCCATGAAAGAGCAAGGGTACGTCGCGGACGTGGGGAGTGTGCTGCGAAGCACGTCCGACGAGGACAAGGAGGATGTCCTGTGCGGGCATAGCGAGAGGCTCGCCATCGCCTGTGCTCTTATCAACACTGCGCCGGGGGCGACAGTCCGGATCGTGAAGAACCTGAGAACTTGCGACGACTGCCACAGGGCGACTTGCATGATCTCCCGGATAGAAGAGCGGCGGATTCTGTGCAGGGAGACGAACAGGTTCCATGTTTTCGAGGATGGGAGGTGCTGCTGTGGAGGCTACTGGTAGAAGAAGCGCCGGTGTTGCTGTTTCGAGGAGTGATTGGAAATGCGAAACGCGCCACCCCCTTCGTCGACGACTGTTTGGAGGCTTGGTAAGTTTCCTCGTTGTCTTTGTTTAAGCTTACGTTATTCCAGGCAGAGGAAGTCTTTGTATATACTTTGGTGTTTTGGAGGACTTGGTGGAAAGTTGTCACTTGGACGTCGTTTAAATTACCTTTTAGGCTAGACTATAATCAGGGTTATGATCGACGAGAGGGAAAAGCTCCGTCGTTGAAATCCCGAGCGATGTTTCTCTTCGGCCTTGACAATGGAATCCCATCAAGCTGCAAACGCTCAGCACTGAGCTGATCTATCAGATCGGCATCGACTACGAACTCAAGAATAGAGTCCACGAAGCTCTTCAGGATTAAACAACCAAAATCACTAGTGTGCTACATTGATTTGTATAAATTAATGTCCAATGAATATATTTATATTTAATGCTATTTTCCAATCAGAATCCTCCGACCGTGATCAAATGAATTTCGGGCTCAATGATCTTCAGCTCAATTCGACATGAGATCGCCGGGATTTTGTTTGTGCCCGCTGATCGAAACTGGGAATAGCATCGCTCCAGGCCAATTTTCTCAAATTTCCATTGCGAGCACCCTGGTGGATTTTTACCATAGCTTGTGTCATCTCCCTCTTCTTTTTGTCGCCCCGCTCTTAAAGCTTATGGCAGAGGCAGAGGATCTTACCAAAGCTACTACATTCTGGGAAAATTCCTGTCCAGCAAACGTTAAGGTAATCTTTGTATCATCTCTGTGTGATGCTTACTTCGGTGTTTTGCAGGACTTGGTGAATAAATGTGATTGAGATCATGTACCGGAGCCTCACGGACGGTGCTCCAAACGGAAGCCACATCGCTGCTCTCAAAGCTTGCATTCGCTTGGCCGGGAAAGAAGAAAGCGGATGGAAGACTTGTAAAGGTCGCGTCTCTCCCCAAAGCTCGATCCACTCGCAAGATACTGAGTAGGTACTTGGCAGACTTCCCTGCAATACTTTGCTTTTATATATTTGTGCTAACGTTGACTCGACAAGCTGATGGAGATGGCATTTGAAATACACGCAAAGACTTCGGATAGGCTAAAGACACCCGAAGAGATTGCAAAGGAGGAGCTCGAGACAGGTAAAGAATCTTCTAAGTTCTGTAGACTATCTGACGCATAACCTTTCCGTGCTTTAGAAAGAAACGGTATAAAGAATGGCGGGAGCGCAGTCTGATGCAGGTTCGAAGCGGAAGAAGAAGAGAAAGCGTGTTGATATATCTGTCAGTGAAAACTTTGTCCATGGAAAAGGAGTATTAAGAAAAGGGACGAGGACAAGGAGGATGTCCTGTGCGGGCATAGCGAGAGGCTCGCCATCACCTGTGCTGTTATCAACACTACATCGGGGATAAATCGTGCAGAAACTGAGAATGTCACAGAGCGACTTGCATGATCTCCTGGATAGAACAGCCGCAGCAGCACCTCCCATCCTTGAAAACATGGAACATGTTCGTCTCCCTACACAGAATCCGCCAAGGCTAGAACAAGTGTCCAGTTTCTCTCTGAGGTATTAAAGTTTGCAGAGTGATTTGAAGTGCGAAGCGCGCCACCATCGCAAGCTTGAGAGATCCTCGTCGGCAACAATTTGGAGGCTTGCTCTTTTCTTGTTGTCAAGAAGAGTGTTTTTGTTTTCTTTCCTTCCTTTCTCTGGTCGGTTCGATCGCTCTCTCCATCTCATTCTCTTCCCCAGTATGTTATTCCCATGTTTTTTCTGTGTAAAGTGTAGACTCTAGGCACACTCAATGGGCTCTTCTTCCTCGCCCCCCGGTCCGAGCTCCATCTCGCCTAGTTCTATCCTTTTCCTTGCCAAGGACTCGGGCTCTCCAACTTTGAATCCCTTGTACACGTCTAGAAAGTTTACCAAACTGTCAAAACAAGTTAGCAATGATCACAGCACACAGATGAAGACCATTTACTCCTGAGAAAACAATTGCTTTGCGTTGCCAGCATGAATGGTGATCTTGAGCTGGGGACCAACACCGCCTGCAGCAGGAATCACCTCAACAGCAGGAGGCATAGGCTCCTTCTTGAAGACTGCTGGATACACTACCATCAACATGATAATGCCAGCGGTTACCAACCTCCTTCTGGGACTCTGCCCTCAGTTTCGCGGAAGACCTGAATATGAACTCGGGACTCGTCATCGACACACCTTGCCCGAACTTCTTCTTGTCAAGAAAGTTCACGAGCTTGAACTGTGCAAAGAGGATCAACTCCTTGTTGTCTTCGTCTTCAGTGGATCACCAGATCTGGACCTGCTAGAAATTCTGGGTTGAGGACCTTTGCTGTTCCCATCTCATCAGCGAGATAGCTCGTCATTCCGGTACTACACACCAGTTGAAGGTTGTCTGCTGACCACAACCTCGGCTGCTGGCAGAAGATGTCTGGTAAAGCAGCCGAAAGAAACCTGCAAACACCATAATCTGGAGGTTGTATCCCGCTGATTGTGAATTGAGAAGATTCATTATGTGAGCCAGACGATAGAGGAAATTGCCAAGCTTGATTCGCGTTTCATTGTTGGTGACGACGAGGAGGGTTTGGCAGAATTCCGAGCAGCGGAGAAGGCCAGTGTCTTCAGTGGTTGGGTGCGAGGCGCCAAATTCGGCCAAGTACGAAAGAGTGATGTGTTCGAATCCGTGCCCCGACATGCTTGGGAAAATAAAAGGAGTGATCAGTTTGTTTTATTTGAGGGTCCCTCTTCTTCGGGTGGGTTCGAACCCGGGATCGGCTCAGACTATCCCTCAGGTCCCTGGGCTGGCCAGTCTTCCCAGGGTTGATCACTTGAAAAATATAGCGTCTCTCTTCTACATAACGGGTTTAGTTAAGCCTTAACCCCGAACGGCTCAGTTAAACCGAGAAAGTTATTATGGAACTGGGAGAGGAGCTGGTGCGGCGGGACAAGGCAGGCCCTCGGGCCCGGCAACGCAGATATTGGCAAAGAGGCCACCCGGGTAAGCCCCGGCATTGTTGAGGTACGCAAACATCTCGTCCGCGCAAGTGGTGTTTAGATCATTGAAGTAAGTGATGTACCTACAGGTGAGTGCGATGAAAGAGTCGCAGCAGGGCTTTCGCGGGTATGGCGACTTGCATACGCTCGTGATACTGGTATAGTTGACGGTCCCGAAATCAAATGGGCAAGCTGCAAAGAAAGTTTCAGCAGCACGGTCGGTGAAAGCAACGAGAATGGAAGCACAGATCGAATGAAGTCAAAAGAACGTTATCCCCTGCCCATCACCATGCATGACCATTCGACAGGAAGGTCCTCCAAGTAAAGTGGAAAGCCATCGAAGGGATCGAAGCAAGAAACCAAGACAGGAGAAGAAGAACTTACGAGCTTTAACTTGGAAGAGTCTCCTCATCGGCCCCTGCGATCCTGCATTGACGGCGAGTATGAAACTCTGCGAGGAATGGGATGATGATACCTGAGGCTTGGCAGCACAGTAAGAAGCAGCAAAGGGCCAAGCAAGCTCCTGTCGACAAACCCATCTCCAATCGATTCTCAGAAGATTGGTAGACTCTCACGACAATCTAGGTAGTTACATCAACCACACAAACCCATCTCAAAAGGTTGGTAGACACTATCAAACCTAGATCGGTTTATCAGAGAGAGGTTTCGATCCTCCGACCTATGGGTTATGGGCCCACCACGCTTCTGCTGCACCACTATGATCTGATCATGTTAAAAACTAATCGCTTAAATCTTCAACATATTTTTTGTGATCACATTTTAGGGCAGAAGATTTCTATCAGATATCGCACAATGGCATCGCCCCCATGAGAGAAAGAAATGTAAGCTGTTGCGAGCTCCTGTCCTTTCTTTTTCACGCGCGAGGTACCATGAACCTCTGTAGAGTAGCCTAATTCTTCTAACGGATTTTCTAAATTGTTAAATTTAATTGTTAAATTTCTGAATGCTTTTTTGTTGGTGGATTGTTTAGTTCGGACGCGGAGGTAACTAACTTTAACGGTTTTGTTTTGTTTTTTCAGTTGTTTGGGATGACGATGAGAGCTTCTAGGGCTCTCCACGCGACGTGTTTCGTCCCTGCTATCATGGAACAAACTGGAACTTAAGAGGTGATCCTGGCATGGAGGCGCAGAACTGCATCGCTTGTTTAAAGAGTGGACCGCAAGGAGCTAGAGTCACGATTTGGGACGGCCAAAAGCTTGGTAACTTGAAGAGCGCTTTGGCAACTTTTAACAGTTTTCTCTCTTCGTCCAGGTCGCTTGAATCCTGCCGAGAAGGAAGATATGAGAAGAGTGATCGACGATATGGGAAGGCTGTCAGCGCAGGCACAGAAGTTGAAAGTTCCCATCACAGACTACGAGCGCATTCGTCTGGGTTCGCAGGCTCTATACCTCCTCACGAGCAACGGGCCGAGCAAAGACGTGATCCTCGTCAAGGGGCTGCTCAAAGTTGGGCAGAAGAACTTGTTCATCCGGAAGGAGTGCGGTGCTCTCGTGGAGATCAATCCATTGTGCGTGCTGGATTTCTATGTCCACGTTTCGTGCCAAAGGTATTCTCCTCTTTCTCTCGTCGTTTCTTTTTTCTTTCTCTCGGCTCAGTTCAGAGATTAAGTTGTTCTTCTAATTTTGACAAGGTCATAGAACAGAATCGGTCTTGGTCGGCAGCTTTTCGACGCCATGCTTGTTCATACGAAGAAACTTGCGTACCAGATCGGGTAAATTTTGCTTCTTTCCTTGTTTAAACCGCAGCTGATATGTAACTTTGCGGTTTCAGATACGATCGACCATCACAAAAACTTCTCTCGTTCCTCGCTAAGCATTACAACCTGAAAAGATTTTATCCTCAGGTTTGCTGCTTTCATATTTCCTGTGTCAGAGTTTTTTTTTCTCTCGCAGGCTAATCAGTTTGTGATCTACAACGCATACTTTGACAGTTCATGTCCGGATGACATGAGGGTCCAGAGCCGAGTTTGCGATTGCATCCGAGGCAACCAGAAGTCCTGCGCAGTGGCCTTACTCGATTCTCCAAGAGCCAAGGAGATATATCACGGCCGCCGCGCAAACAAGACACCAGAACCAGAGCCAGACATAGACATCGAGCCAGCTCCACTTCCGGTCTCTGCCAAATACACCGAGAGCTCGAGTGACGACAAGGTCACGGTGTTGCAAGAGGACGAAGTTAAAGTCGTTCCTTCGGTGACACAGGTGTTCTCCGAGCTCCAAGGCATGGACAACCATTACGACTGGATGACCGGCATGAAGAAACCACTGTTGAAGCCGGCGAGATCGGTGGCCTGGAAAGGAGTGGAGTTTCCAAGCCAGGATTTGTCAAGCACGGGGCTGATGGACCGTGGCAAGCTGAAGTCTAGCAGCGACGTATATGATTCTTTGCGGCTGGGATCAGCGAAGTCGCCAGTGCCAGAGGGCTTGAGGCGAAGCAAGAGCCCAAAGTCGAGCCACCGAGCACAGCTATCGGGATTTGGTGCCGCTGCTGCTTTGGGATTCAACCAGAGATGACAAAGAAGAACTGGTTTCAGAGTTCTTTCGTGCTCTCTAGACCTCTAGATTGATTTCCAGGTGACGAATGTTGTTTCTTGAATGTTCGTGTCTTTCATTCACAGGCATGAAAGAACGGGTGTTCTGAATCGTCAGGATCCTTTCAGAGGTAATGGTCATATAAATCTAGGCGATCAAAGGTTCTGTGGGTTCTTCTTGAGCGTCTAGCTTTTTTTGCTTGACTTGTCCCCATGTCACAAAATAGAGTCCTGATACGATAAATAGTCCGCCAACAATGCTGGGGAAAAGAAGCAAAAGTAAGAAGAACCTCCAAAGTGGTCTCTTTTACCTTCCAAGGAAGAGGGAGTCTTTCAAGAATATGAATGCTAGGAAGCTTGCAACAATGGCCTGGAGGGGAAAATACGCGATAACTAAGAAAGGCCCGACTTTGTGGACGCACCACGTCTGCAATGCGAAGTTTAAGCCCGAAGAAACGATTCCCTGAACAAGAAAGAAGAGATGATAAATTCACGAACTGGCAAACAATGAAGAAAGCTGATCTTACGTACCGCATAAGTGAAAGCAATCACATCTACAAGCTTGGTGATCCTCCAAACCGACAGATTTACTGTAAACGCTCCTGTGGCCGCTAGGCAGACCATTCCACAAACGTACGAGAGTGCTGTCAATGAAAATGGTGCTGGATAGTGCTTGAGAATTGGCGCCTATCGAAAAGAAGAAAACAATCGATACCAGTGATCGCAAACTTTGGAAGAACTACGAAACCTGTAGATTTATGTAAGCTCCAATGCACAAGCTGTTTGCAGCAAGGACAAGTGCACCGAGGTTCCAAGGCGAGAGATCTAAAGTGAAACCATTGCTTGCTCCAACAACTGCGTGGCCTTTAAAGACCGAGGCTATGAAAGTTCCTGCGATCGACAGTATCACTCCCAAGAGTTTAGCCTGGCCGTCTATCCTTTTGAATCGAATGTGTTCCAGCCTGTAGGCAAGATCGAAAGCTTTTTGAGAAGATCATACAAAAGTAACGTACCTGAAAACCATGGCAATGAGAAAAGCACACACTGGAGTTACACTTTGCATGATAGATACAAAGCCAGACGATGTCAATGAGAGTCCAGTAAGCACTAGAAGCTGTGCACCATAGACCCTGTGAAAATAGAAAGGTAAAAACGAAGAAGAATGAAACGTGAACTTTCACCGCTGGAGAACTCATAAATTACCCGATGAATCCCAGAAGAAACACGGTGCTGAAAAGTTTGGCATTGAGCTGGGTTCTCTCATTCCTGATGTTTGAGTGGGTTGAAACTATCGCAAGACATTGAAGCTATAGATTTCATACCTTTCGGTGAAGTAAGCAAGAGGCGCCAAGAACAAGATGGCCACGATATCCCGGTAGACCGAGAAGACGATCTTGTTGACGCCATTGTTGAGAGCAACCTTGTTGAGAACGTAACTGATGCCGAATGTGATCTGGGTGAACATGAGCACACCGTGCACGATTCGCCGATCAGTGCCACCGCCAGTCGCCATCTCGATCCAATTCCTTACTTTTTCCGGTTTTGGAGAAATCAGTGGGGAAAGAGAAGAGAAGCGCCATGCCTAGATTTTGCAAATGTCCCACGTTTATTTTGCGTTGACTAGGAGATAATGCTAGTGTTGACCGTTGAAGGGCATATTCACTAAACATTCAAAACACACACGGCAGCACGTCGCGTAGAGCATCTTCGGCGAAAAAGAGGCCCATCTTTCTATTGATGCCAATACCGCGGAGATCCACCACGACGCACTTTCTGATCCCGATCGCGTCCACAGCGTTCAGCTCCTTGACAGGATCCTCTCCGCGGTCATGAGACGCCTGGACGAACTTCCTGGCCGACAGTGCCATGGGCATGCCCCGGAAGTCGTCGTAGTTGACAACCCAGTCCAGAGAGCCATACTGCAATGCCTTAGAAGGATGTAGCCAGTGGAGACCCGATTCTGCCAGATGGATTCCTTATAGACGAGGACTTCTTTAGCATCAAGCTCTCCTAAAGTTCCATCGATCACGAATTCCGCCGGAGGACCCCGACACAGCAGGCCGAGCTCGAACGTGGAAATGCAGCCCACGGCTTCGATGCTCCTGACGTGGCAGGGCTCCAGCGGCGTCATTGAAGGCTCCATTTCGTTGTCGTACAAGTAGGCTGGAATGCTCCAAGGCGCCCCCCAGTAAAGGGCATTTGCATGTGTACGACGCTGCTTGGGGCAGATGTTTCCATGAGCATAGCTCGGGTGATCAAGCAACGTCGTGTCGCATGCAGTCAACTGCCGGTTGTAGCAGATATCGCAGAAGAGGAACAAGGCGAGCTTGAGAGGAGGAGCAGGAGCACGAGCTCGAGCCCGAGCTATAGTTTCCGCGAGCGTGCTGCATCCGCGGGCAGCTAAATGTTAGCTGGGCTCTTGCGCTCTTCTACTCACTCACCTCCAAAAAGCCGCCGCCAGAACATGCCGCCCAACCAGGAGTAAGAGTTTATCCGCGAGTGTGCTGGGCAGATCCACTGATAGCTTTATCCGCGAGTTTAGCTTTATTCGATAGCTGCTGCGCTCACACCACCCTAGACACTTTTAGGGCAAGGTTCTTAGAATATTCCTTGAAACTCCATAACTCGTTTTATTTTTCTTAATGAACATTTAATTTCTTTCGTAGTCATTATTTAAGTAAATTGCTATGGAGAGCTTTCTTGTCAATGATGCGGCATCTCAAATATGTACTTAGAATTAAATAATTCTTGCTATCAAAGTTTTAGGATCACCAACACTCGTCTCTAGGATTTAACATCGCTTCTAGAGCTTCTTTTCCTATCTTTCTAGGCTTTCATAGTGTAGAGTTCTCTATGGCTCACACTTTTTTCTTTGCTACTTCTCTCTTCGCTGTTCTTGCTAGCGTTGTTCTAGCGACCAACACCTCATGTTTCCCAGGTAAGAATCTGCAAGCGATTTTACAGCCAATCACAGGCTTTATGTTTGCAAAGGCGATGCCACCGTCCAAATGTATAACGGCGACCTCAAACTCATGAGAGATCTCAAAGTTGGAGACAAGGTATTATATTGCTCTTAAGTTTCTCGAAAGCCCATAAAAGTGCCAGATCTAAAGGTTGCAGTGAGCAAAAACGTGTTCTCGGATGTCTACGCATTCGGCCACAAGGACGCCGATGTGATCTCCGAGTTCATCCAGGTCCACACCGCCTCAGACATGATCGAGCTTAGCGAGGGCCACTTCATCCCAGTCGACGCCAAGGGAAAGCTTGTGTACAAGCGAGCCAAGGATCTCCAGGTTGGAGAAACTCTCTGGGGATCATCTCAAATCACTGGTAACATCATACTTCTTTTGAGACTTTGCTCTTACTTTTGACAATTATAGAACTTGCCAAGGTGGAGAAGCTGGGTCTCTACAACCCATTCACTCTCTCCGGCAACATCATGGTTAACAACGTGGAGGCTTCCTCTCACAGCGAGTGGTTCCTGGACTCCCTCTTTGATGCCATTGGTGCAACTGAGTACCTCCCATACGCATACCAGGCCGTGCTCGCTCCACTTCGCGCCATCTACAACATCGTCAGCAAGGAAATCTACGCAGAGGGCTATGCCGCCATGGATTCCTGCGTCAACTTTGCTGAGTTTGGAGCCAAGTATGGAGGAAGCATTGCTCTCACCGTTGGAATCGCTGGAGTTGCAACAGCAATGCTGGCCACCAAAGCTTGAGCAAAAATCAGGAGTAAATAAGAGTGAAATTATCACAATCCAGATCAGGTCAATGTAAATCTCCAGAACAAGAACGAAAGAAATGAGCGAAGGAACTGTGTGATGTCAAACAAAAGCTTCATTTCATGACATGCATCACAAAGATGCATAGATGTTTTCCAAGTTTCTCAAGTGTTAAGAAAAAAGGGGGAGAGCGAGAGAAGTGCCAGCCAACAGATCACACACACAAGCAAAAAAGAAGAGCACGAGAGGAAACGAGAGAGTTAAGAAGAAATCGAGTGCTGAGATCTCATTTCCCTCCCAGAGACGGGAACTGCTGGAAATCAGCAATCTCGGGAGCCGAAGCCGCGTGTTGTTGTTGAGGCCTCTCCCGCGGCCGCGGCCGCGATTGCCACCACGTCCGCCATACTGATTCTCGGCCTCGGATTTCCGGAACTCGATCGGCACCGACTGAAGAAACGAAAACACGCTCATCGTTAAAAGAAAGCCACAAACAAGCCCATCCACTTACCTTCTTGGTCTTATCATCCTTCTCCCCTTCTTTCTTCTTGGCCTTGTCCGCTCCCTGTCGAGTATGAAACTCAGTCAGTCTCTCTTTCTCGCATAACATAACAATCGAAGGACTTTACCAGTTTGATTAAGATATCTTCGTCGGCCTTCTTGTCAACCAGCTCCATCTTCTGGAACTCACTGTCAGCCACCACTTTCCTCTCCTCGCACTGTTCCTCTCACACGCAGAAATGCATAGCTACACGATGTATACGAGGGGCGAGGACAGTAAGTTCCAAAACTCTGATCGTCGAGCTTCGGTATAAAAGAAGTGTTTGGGGGCTTGCAAGAGGGAGTGAAAGAAAAGAAAGAAATAGGTGGTGTTTGTGATAAATTTGTTGGAAATCATATAGAATTTGCGGCTAGAAGATCGATTCAAAGAGAGAAGTAGGAATATGGCAATGAAGCGAGGAAGAAGCTCATCTCCTCTGCTGGCTTTGCTGGTTCTAGCTCTGCTCGCTGATCTCACGCTCTTGGGCCTGGCAAGCTTTGAAGTAAACCATCAACTCAATGACCTCTCCGCGCTAGCAGGTAAGAAACTCTCTCTCTCTCTCTCTCTCTCACACACACACACACACACACACACACTCTCATGAATCCTCCATGGAAAATGTGTGTAGACAACAACGCCATCTTCGACTTGGTGAGATTCTCCCTCACAGCCGCCGCAGTGGGAGTGGCATCGGCCATGATAGGACTGTTACATGCCAGGCATCATAAGCATGAAACTATGGTGGGAGCAGTGTGCGTGGGAGTCATCGCCCTCGTCCTCTTACTTCTTGCCACCGGGTATAGTTCTAAGAAGATTTACCTACAAACCACTTCTTTTTTGACAGCTTTTCTGCCAAGCACATCATCCTGGGTTCTGTCAAACAGGATAGACTAGTAAGTGAAATCTTCTCCCTTCTTTTCTTTCTCCCAAACTCGATTTCTTGGATGCTTGCAGAAAACTCTCGAGGCCTTTGCGATTGTAGCGGGAGGAACACAACTTTTCTACGTACTCTTCCTTGTTCTAGAGTATGAATCGTGAAAGAACGAACAATGCAGGCTACTCCAAGCAGCAGCAGTGCTTGATCTGTGCCATGTATCAAATTCCACCCCGTAATTTTAGCAAAAATCTTAGCAGTTACCACATTTTAGCATTTTCATGTTGATAAAAGAACTGAGGAAATTTAATTGTTTACATTTAGCCTGGGGACAACCGTACATGGGCATGAAGTTATCTTGAAAGTATTAGGATATATGAAATCACTAACAGGATTGCATGAGTTTAAATGTTTACATAATTAATTCTTTGACTATTCTATAGTTTTTCAATTTACATCTTTTAATAATTTAGGCTATTATATTTGTAGAAAGAATACGTTTATGATGCTAAACATATAGTTTGTAATAGCATTTTTTCTAATAATGGGAAGTGCAACGAGATTAAAACATTTCTAATAAAGTTTTTTTTTATTCTTGGTAAAGTTGTAAAGTATAACAAGTTTAAGCTAATATCAATTAGCTAATCAGTAACCATATTTATAAGATAATAACCACCACACTTTTCTTCCCTCTAATGTATATATTTTACTATTAATAATAAAAATTAAGAACACCTTAGGGGATATAAAAATAAATAAATACACACACACACATGTATTTACAGTTTATTTTTGTATTTTTCCTTGTTATAGAGAAAATTTTACTTCAAAAGAGCAACGAAAGGTTGCCTGATCTCAAATCCAAAACATTACAAACCTTTGATCGCATTTTCACAAATCGCGTTGATATGTTTTCAGCTTATGGTTTTCGATTTTCGCAGTACCGGCCCAGTCTGTATGCTTCTCACTGCCACCTTTATAGCTCCCAAAGTGCCCAGCTGCTGCATACGAGCTCTCCCTTCGTCCTCTTCGCTAGAATGAGATACAGCTACTTGAATTCCTGCGTAGTATGCTACCTGAAAAGGACAACATTTCAAGGAGTGCGTAAGAAATAGACTTACAACCTTTCCACTTGAGTTTCGCACTGGAGAAATGTGTAAGGAGTTCCAGAAGGGTTCCTTGTTCTTCCTGGTAGCAAGGATTATCAAGTCGTTTATTAACAGGCCGAGAGGAGAATGTTACCTGTAGTTTAGAATGCGGATAGTGCAAGTTTGCCCCTCAGATATACTCGATCGTAGCTGACGAAAGATGAGGATGAAGCAGGAAACTTGTAACTTCAACAAAGTTTTACCTCCTCGATTGGCGCTAGATCAGTGTCAGGTCCTTGCAAGAATCTACAGTTCCGACCAATGACCTCTTCTCGCGTGTATCCTGCACGGTTTCATGGCCATGCATTAGAATTCTACATTTAAAGTAGAACAAAACCTGTTAGCTCCAGAAACTCGAGGCTCGCGTGTACGATCGGCATATCAGGAAGATGAGGATCTGTTCTGCAAAAACAAACTATATCAAGCCTCAAGACAAAAACGAAAGCGAAAGAGAGAGCTACTGAACTTACAGGACGAAACTGTGTGGGATTCTAGTTAAAGCCAACAACAACGAGGTGGCCACGAATCCTGGAGGGATCACACCCTCGGAGAATGACTTACTTCTCATAGAACTGACTCCCTTGCAGCTCGAGTTGGCCAGCTCCTGTAGCACAGCCTTGACTGCCGCGAAAGCTCTTTGTTTGTCTTCCTCGCTCAAGTGATAATTCTTGCACGAGGGGTTATCTGCGAGTGAACAGATTCGTCGTTCAAGCAAAAGAAAGAACAAAAACCTTACCAAAATGTTCTTCAAACTCGAGCTCGTCAAACGAAAGTTCCAGCCCCGTCAAATGCCCGTCCTTGCGAGCCGCAACCTTCGAAGATATGGGAAGTTGAACTCCCACGAAATGCACCACCCGGCCATCCTGCTGCGAGAAGACGGGCGCCAAATGGAACAGGTTCCAAAACGGCTTGCCAGCCTTTGTGTAGTTCAGGATCTTGATCTGACAGTCCCGTTCTTCACGAATCGCCTCTCGTATCTCGACGATAGCCCGCTTGTCCGTGTCCCGCCCTTGCAAAAACCGGCAGTTCCTTCCCAGGACCTCGTCCCTGCTATACCCCGTCATCTCGAGAAAACCATCGCTGGCGTAGACAATGGGATGGTCCGGAAGGCCTGGGTCGCAGAGGACGAAGTTGTAGGCGTGCTTCTGGAGCTCATCCTGGATACTGGCGCGGTAGGAGCGGATCAAGGACTGGGAGACGATGAGCTTGTGGTTCTTCATGCGCGGGCTCCTCACACATTTCCGGTCTGACGAAAGGAGGGATCCATTTTGTAGCGCCATCCATACGTGTGGTGTGGCCCCCCGGAAAGCGATCGATGGAGATCCTCAAAACTTGATTCTCGGCCTGTGATCGGTGGCCGAGATTGCGTGATTCACGGAACGCAATCTAAAAGAAAAAATCTAGTCGCCGCGCCAGCTTATCTTTGAGTTTGAGTAACTTTACCCTGCGAGAAGAAAACGATAAAAGAGTTAAGTCTCGGATAAAGACCAGTACAAATTTGCTGACACTCTATCTTGCAAGAAATCTTCCATGGGAAATGCCGCTGATCACTCTCCCAGCTCAAGAAATCTCGACAGCGATCGCTAGAAGAGGAGAGAAAGAATGCGAAATTCGACCACAAAGTCAAAGAAGTCCCACAAAAATTGCGAGCAAGGGGAACGAATTCGACTCTAGGGAGCAAGAAAACCTCACAAACGTCGGTACCGTGAATCCGAGATAGGAACGAGAATGAAGAATCCGAGACTAGGAAGAGGAGCTTTCAAGAAATCTCGCCAGCGGCGGATCGGCCGAGCTCCGGAATGACGAATTCGACACTCGACAGCAAATATTTCGCAAGAACCCTCGCAATCGCGAGCGACTGTAGCTGGAATCCGATCACTAGCAAGAAGAGGAGCAGGAATGCCGAGTAGATCCAAATAACCTTTGTGGCGCCGGTGGAATGATCGGCGCGTAGAAATCGCGAGCCCCGACACTGGAATGCGCCACGCACGACGATTATTCTCCTAGATCACTAGCGAGGCAAAACTGCAAGCCCTATATTCATGGGCTTCCTTGAGACACGTGTGGCATATTCGTCGTTTCAAAGAAAGTCAACGATCAACGGTCAATTACGGTCAAATAGCACACTTGGCACCTACGTGGCATGGACTTAGGTTTAGGGTTTATAGAATGCGTCGATGGGCACAGCCCATTCGCTTGCGATGGATCCATGAGGCTGCGTCTCTCCCTGGCGATGGCCTCCAATCCACAATGTAAGTGCTATCTACAAGAAATCCTCGATCTCTCACCTCCATCTCCTTGCAAGTGACCAGGCCGCCGCGATTCGAAAGGAGAGGACCAAGATCTCCATGCTCATCGCCACGCTCAAGGGCTGCGCCATGTCCAGGGACTTGCAAAGGGCGAGGAGAGCACACGCGGAGATGGAGGCTTCCGGGATTGGTGATTCAGCGAAGAAATGCTCGGTGGTCGCGAACACGATGATCGATATGTACGCCAAGTGTGGCAGCATGGTGGAAGCGCAGCGAGCATTCGACGAGATGGAGAGCCACGACGTGATCGCCTGGACAGCGCTCATCAATGGCTACGTAGACAACGATGAGCCAGAGCTCGCGATCAAGCTCTTCTCGAGTTTCAGGACTTCTTCCGGGATTCGTCTAGATGCCGCGAGCTACCTGGCTGGATTGAGAGCTTGCTCGAGCCTGGCTGCTAGAGAGCCTGGGAAGAAGCTGGCCGATGGAAGGATCGTGAAAGTTAGAGCTCTGGAGAAGGGGATGGAGGTCCATGACGGGGCTGTGAAGGATGGATGCTCGAGCTTGTTCTTGGCGAGCGCTCTCGTCACCTTCTACTCCAAGTGTGGGAGCTTGGGCGACGCTCGGAGAGTTTTCGCGAGCATGCCTCAGCACGATCTGGTCTCTTGCAACGCTTTGATGCTGGTGCTTGCCGAAAATGGAGAAGAAGTCGCGGCTATGGATTTGCTGAAAGGATTGGAACAAAGAGGCTGCGTTTCAAACGCTAGAACTTTCCTGGCGGCGCTCAAGGCTTGCACGAATCTGGCCGAGAAGGAAACCGGCGAGCAGATCGACGGGAGAGTCGTGAAAGTTTTGAGCCTCGATAGAGGAAGAGAGGTCCACCGCAAGGCCGAGATGATCCTCGGCAGGGAGATGACCACCTTCGTCTCCAACACGGTGGTGGATATGTACTGCAAGTGTGGGAGCGTGATCGATGCTCGGGGTGTCTTCGAGAGGATGGCTTCGAGAAGTTTGGTCTCATGGAACGCTCTCATCCTCGGCTACGCCGAGAACGGCCATGGCGATGCCGCCCTTGAGCTCTTCTCGCGCATGAAGCTCGAAGGATACGCTCCAGACGCAAGAACTTTCGCCGCGGGGCTCAAAGCTTGCGAGATCCTCGTAGCTCTCGACGCGGGGAAGAAGATATACGCGGAAGTTTGCCGGACTGGTTTGGAAAACGAGGCAGGGCTCGCGAGCTGCGTGCTTGATTTCCACTCTCGCTGTGGAAGCATGGATGAATCACACCGGATCTTTGAGTCACTCTCGTCCCGAGACTCGGTAACTTGGACGGCGCTTCTCTTTGGCTATGGCCGCCAGGGCGATACCAAAGGAGTGTTTGATCTCTTCCATGGAATGGTGGACGAGGGGTTGGAAGTTGACGGGATCACGCTGCTGTGCATACTCAGCGCTTGCAGCCACGCTGGTTTAGTGGAGACTGGCGAGGCTTGGTTTGGATCGATGAGCTCCAAGTTTGCGGTCACTCCAAGCATCGAGCACTACCACTGCATGGTTGATATCCGCGGCAGAGCAAACCGGCTGGACGACGCTCTCGCTTTGATCCAAGCCATGCCTTTCGAGCCAAGCACGGTGACTTGGAGGACGCTCCTGGCGGCGTGTAAGAAGTGGAAAAATGTGGCCGTGGGAAGGATCGCGTTTGAGAGCTTGATTCGGTTGGATCGGCGAGACACGGCGGTCTATCTCTTGATGTCGAGCTTGTACGCGGGCACAGGGATGTGGAGCGAGCAGCTTCGAGTGGAGTGGCTCCGGAGGGATTGCGGCGACTGGAAACAAGCTGGGCGATGCTGGTGGAGCGACAGATCTGGTATAGTTCACTGCTTCATGGCCGGGGATCTCGAGAACCATCCCCAAAGTCTGGAGATCGCGGCGAAGTTGCGGGATGTTCTTCGGGGTTTCGAGGGTGGCGGTGGCGAGAAGATGGCGTCGCTGTGCGGGCACTGCGAGAGGATCGCTGTGGCTTGCGCGCTCGTCAACACGGCTCCTGGCACGACGATCCGGATCAGTAAGAATCTGAGAGTTTGCGACGAGTGTCATGAAGTTCTTGGGTTTATCTCGAGGGTGGAGGGGCGGAGCATCGTCTGCCGGGACGCAAGCAGGCTCCATGTTTACAGGGATGGAACTTGCTCCTGTGGTGAGTACTGGTAGAAATTTCACACTCTTGCCAAAGTGATTCATCCGGGATGAAGAGCTTGAATGGTATTATTCGCTGCCAGCAGAACATATGCAGCTTCTCCGGTTGGAAACATGGAGATCGCTTGTTTCGCAGCCTCGCCACCTTGATCAAAGTCTCTGTAGCTTCTACAGCTCGAGAGCAAGCAAGTCCAGTCGAAAGCATCAGGAACAAAGGGCATGTTTGTGATGAGTTCTTGGGCTTCCACCAGATGCCCAGCTCTGGCTAGAAGATCCACCATGCAGCAAAAATGCTGCCTTGTGGGTTGGATCCCATAGTTCATTCTCATGGAAAGGAAACAGGATCTTCCCGACTCAACCTTGCCTCCGTGGCTGCAAGAGATCAAAACTGACGTGAAGCAAGCTTGGTCTGGAGGATCCAGCATCTCCATCGATCCAAAGAGGTGTAGAGACTCTGCGGGGTTTCTTTTGTGAGTAAAACTCGCAAGAACAGAAGTCCAGGAGATGATATCCCACTCTGGAATTCGATCAAAGCAAGATTTTGCTTTGCGAAGATGCCCGTTTTGGGTGTACGCCATAACCATGGTGGCCCAGGCGAAGGAATCTCTGGCTGGCATGCGATAGAAAACAGACTCAAAGCATTCTAAATCACCTTCTTGAGAAACAGAAGTCAGAATAGATGTCCAGGATAGAATGTCTTTCTGCGGCATTCTCTCAAACAAGAACTTAGCATCATCAAGATGCCCTGCTCTAGTATATGCTGCCAACATTGTGTTCCAAGAAATGAGGTTGAGTGATGGTATAGAATCAAAAATACATTTGGCGTCTTCGATACGCGTAGCTTGACAGTATGACGACAGTATTACGTTCCAGGAGACCAGATTGTGCTGGGGCATTTTCACGTCAAAAGTTTCTTTTACCACTGACAGATTCCCGCTTTGAGCATCTAGAGTGAGCAAGAGATTCCAGGTCACAAGATCCGTCTCGGGGACATCCCTAAAAAGATTCCTAGCTTCTTTAAGATTCCCGCTTTGCGAATATGCCGCCAACATGGCGTTCCACGAGACGAGATTCCGCTCCGGCATGTTTTGAAAAGTATCATGCGCAGATTCAAGATGCCCGGATATGGCATATGCAGTTAACATTGCCGTCCACGAAACTATATCTCGTTCTGGCATTGTTTCAAACGTTTTCACTGCGTGAAGAAGAAAGGAATCTTGTGTATAAGCTGTGAGTAGTGTAGTCCACGATATGAGATCGTGCTCCGGCATAGAATCAAACACCGCCTTCGCGATTTCCAAATGCCTATGTCTGGCAAAGGCACTTAGAATCGCATTCCAAGCCACCAAATTGTGCAAAGGCATGGAATCAAAGGCCTCCTTGGCTCTGGCAACGTCTCCAGATTGCGCAAACGCAGTGAGGATCGTCGTGGCGCAGACGATGTTCTTGCGAGGCATGGAGTCGAAGAGGAGTTTGGCATCGCGCAGGAGGCCATTTCGAGTGTATGCCAGGAGAAGCACGCCCCAGGAGATGGAATTCGAGAAGCCCATCTCGTCAAACACGGACTTGGCATCGCCAGGGCTCCCACACTTGCCATATATCTCGATGAGCTTGTTACAAACAAAAGAATCTCCAAAAAGAGCGTTTCCATGGGAGCGTTTCAAGATCGAGTGAACTTCACGAACTCGTGAAAGATTGCCACAAGAATTGATTAGACGAAGGCATTCTGTTTGATCCATAGATACTATAGTCTTCTTTCTGTGTCATCTGTTAGGAATAACATTAATATCTCTGAAACCTTTGCTAGAAGCTGAGAAGATCATCACGGGTATCCCTGGTATACTTGAAGAGCCAAGTAGTCATTCTCCCCAAATTGTAGCATTGGATTCCTACCTCCACCACTTGCCGTGCTCAAGCTTAGATCCTCACCCGAGCAAACATGCCTGAAGCAAACACGTCAAGCATCCTTTTGATATTTTATCCATAGTTCTGCTTACTTGCTGCTGATGCCAAGTCCAGCCACAGGCCGCTTGATGCAAGGTATGACATCAGGAAAACCATACGAGAAAGCTGCAAAGTTGTCACTTTAGCTAAGTTCCAAGCCAAAAAACCAAAAGCGCAAACTTACCTTTGGAAGCCAGACTCGAATGCTGCTGGTTTCTCAGCTTGCCAGAAGGGAATAAGCTTAGCTCTTGCAGTGGTTGGCTGTAGCCTGTATTGTGAATCTGCCCTCGGCGGTAGTAGTTATAATCAGCTGCCAGAGCTCGTCGTGAGTTTTGAGTTTGGTTTCAAAAAATTTTACCTTGCTCGTCTGGGTCGATGGTGATGACGTATGGCCTTTCAATCGGAGGAGGAATGCATAAGCCAAACTGGTAAAAGAAAGGATGCTGTCGCAGTTGATACGCCGTCGGTCGCCTGTTTGGATCCCAGCACAGCATAGCCTGCAAGGAAAGCAATTTACATTAGCTCTGGTGGATCTATCTTCAAACAAACTTACAGATATCATGTCCACCGCAGCTGGGCTAGCCGAAGGTATTAAACTTTGCAGCCCCGCCGGCGCAAACTGCCGAAGGAATCGTCAAAAACTAATCGTGAAAGAGCTGAACATCACCTGAGGAAATCGAAAGCCTTTACGAACAGCGAGTTGCATCCCATCCGGCCAAGTGTGATAGTTCGGAGAGCCAAGAACAGAACATATTTTGTAAATCTCGTCTGCTTCACTGCAAAAGCAGGACTTTAAGAATCTCAGACTAAGCTTCACAAGTTACACACCTGGCTCCTGGGAACAAAGGTTGCAAATTGAAAAGCTCGGCCATAATGGCTCCCATTGCCCATATGTCTGCCAAACAATAACGGTGAATAACGGAACTCAAGCTTTATAGCGGACATACCAATTGCGTAACTGTAAGAAGGTGCCTGAAGAAGCACCTCTGGCGCCCGATACCTGAAAAGATAACGTTAATCTAGAAGTGACTTATAAAAAAACGGACTACCATCTCGTAGCAACGTAATCAGTATATGGTGCCACTGAGTATACTTCTCGAGCGAGTCCAAAATCAGCCACTTTGATAGCCTCATCGGAAACTAAAAGGTTTTCTGTTGGAACGGAATACATTACAAACTCATGAGAGCCTAAAGATGAAAATACCAAACCTGGTTTGAGATCTCTGTGAAATATTCCATGTTGGTGCATGTAGTCCAATGCTCGAAGCACCTGGAAACTCCAGATCCTAATTCGCTCTTCCGACAGCATCTTGGATCGGTCCTTCATGACTTGATACAAGTTGCATTCCTACAAATTGGAAAAAAAAAAAAGGAAAAACAAATTGGAAAAACAAGTTCGTGTCACGAAACCATCAATAGGTTTGTTTTACCATATACTCGAAGACAAGAAACAGCTCTCCATGTTCCCAGATCACCTCCTTTAGCTGGACAATATTGGGATGATCTAAGCGTTGAAGACACTGAAGCCAAAACTTCCGCATAAGATTCACGATGCAAAACAAAAAGCAAGGAAACTGACCTTCACTTCACGCAAATTCATGCATTCTTCCCATCCGTGAAACTTGGTTTTCATTTTCTTGATTGCAACCTGAAACGCAAAACGTACAAGATTAAGTAAAACTGGACCAGAAAAAAGCGCTCGACTTACAAATTCATTCGTACATCGATCAATTGCCTTCCACACACTGCCATACGTTCCATCTCCAACTTGTTTGATGACTTGGTACCTTTTAAAGGAGAAAAAAGGAAGAAAAAAACTCTGAGAGTGAGAAAGTTTTGTGATATACCTCTGCATTGCGTTCTTCTTCCTTTCACCCCAAAAGAGCTAGCATCAAGTCACTCCGTGGTATACACCGCCGTAAAATCTGAGGAAAAATGGGCTCCATAATCGGATTGTCTAAGGAATGAGCCGCAGCAGCACAGCAATCGCCGAGAATTTTGACAGATCGGGGCATCGCTCCAGCCATTGCACCTAAACCCCACAATTTCCATGGACAAGTCCCGTCATCAATCCAGCGGCTCAGTGACCGCTGCGATTCCTTTGCCTCGTCCATACGATCTCATCACACTGGCCAGCGGCGCCTACCCGGGCATGGATCATTCCCAACAGGCGGCGACAAGATCTTCGCTCGCTCCGCACCGCTCCCTCCAATCAATCCCTCTGGGCATTAGGGTGACCTAACTTGGAAGCGACAAAAGGAATAGAGGGGTGCAATTATCGCAGCCGTTGGTTGCATGGCTTATCGCAACCGTCTACTTGAACGCGTCTCGAGCCGTCCAAAGGTAACATATCGCAGCTGTTGGTTTTACACCAACGAAAATTACTAGAGCTCAGCGGTTTGTCCTTGGTCCATTTCGAAGTTAATGTGTTTTTCAATAGTAAAAAAGCTATCTTAAGGCTAATTTCTGGTGGATAATAATTTCAAAAAGTACATAGCTTAATGAATTATTTAGCGTCAAATAAGTTATGATGTCTTAACTGCAAAACCCAGCAATGCACCTCAAACACACACAAGGAGGGATCTAATCCCAATACAGCACTCACACTTTTTAAAGCAAATTTTTTGGCCAGATCTCAAAGAAAATCAATAACACCATAACTACTAAAACACCTTTAAACGAATTTCTGGACCATTAAATAATTTACTGTGCTATAAAAATTCTTGGTTTGCTTTGGGAATTTAAAATATTTTGGAAAAAAAAACCATGCAAAATGAAAATATCAAGAAGCATTTAACAAATTAGAACGATTTAGATGCTTGTGGCCAACTTCATAAATTGAAGAGGTTGCATTAGTTAAAAGAAGCCCAAGGTGAGCCAGCCTTGGAGAGGCTGAGGTAGAATGATGAGGAGTTTGATAGTATAATGGGAGCTACTAATTAGTGGCTCGTAGTATACTATCAAACTCCATTCAAACTTGGACAGAGTGGGCTTTGTCATCTGTGTGACAGCCTATTATGTCATGCTTTTGCATTTCCTGGCTGATCCTTGTCATTCTCAACCTTGGCAGCGATCCCCTACAATGCAACCCCCGATTTTTTTTCTGAGGAACGAGAAAATGGTTATGGTTTTGGCCAGCAGACTGGAGGCTCGAGATGCTGCCCTATCGTTAGCTCCCAGACACAAAATGAGCATTTTCAGCTCCCTGGTGGAGCTCCCACTCGACTTGCCACACTAATCCCGAAGCTAAGATTGCTGAGAGTGAGGTAGAGTGCTCGAGTTGGCAGCTCTGGGGTAAAATGCATTTGCCAATTGCATGAAAGAACTTGTATCAAGCCTGCAATGAGTGGATGAAGACAATATGTAAATTTACTAAGATAAAGAACCACACCAAGAATTTATCAAGAGGAGAAGTATACGAGGCACTTCGAGAAAAACGCAAAGAGAATCAATCGAAAGCTAAGTACCTGCGAAAATAAGATATGGAACTTGGTGAGCTCCATACTACTTGTACTTAGTACTTGGTGAACTTGGTGAACTTGTTGGAGACGAAGTCATATAGAGTGGCTTGGCAAGAAATAACAAGTTGGTGCTAGATGAACTTAAGATGAAACTGGAAGAATACTAAAAATCTTAGAAGCTTGAACTTATGTCTCCAACAAAAGCTTACCTCCCTGAATTCCGTGAGCAAAAGCTAGGCGCAGAACATTATGCTCCCTCGAATGGAAATCTCTAACACAGTCACAGATGAATCAATATCTTTCCTTTTTAATAAATCAAAGACCCTACTTTTTGAAAGCCACTTGAAACTTGACTAAGAGGCACCTTTACCCAAGGATTACCTGTTATATCACTTCTTAAAACATGACATTCCTCCTGAGCTTAACGTGGACGCATTACGCTATATGTCTTTCGACCTAGAGGAAGGGCAGAGGATAGTAACTACATCCATCACTTTCTCTCTCCATGACATTACTGTCACCGACCAGAGGCTATTTGGGTCGCTTCTGTAGTAGAATTTTTATTTATGAAGTTTTGACAACGAAGGGGATGCAAACATTATACCCAGGATGTGCATAACACCTCCAGATCTGGCCTGGTAATTGTTGACGTATTGAATTTTGATCTTCCCCGTCGAGAGTAGTCCAGCGAAGCTCTTGAGCTCGAAGGCCCCAGTCCATCGCCTCTCCCTGTACCGGACGTATACGTTGCCCGGACAAACTAAAAAGTTTAATCCTACTTTGTGATCGGCCGGGGACGAAGACATCTCAGATTTAATCATCAAAGATGACTCCCCTTTCCAGACGTTTCATCCTCCATAATAAGGCCGGTCAAATTTGGTACGAACCTGCTGGATCCCTCAGAAGCTCAACGTCATGCATTCAAGACAAAGGAATCCCAGCAAAGCCCCGCATGTACCAGAAGAACTTCTGAGGATTCAGTAACTTACGAAGATAGTTTATACTGGAGTATGTGAAAGTCATGTTCTCGCTGCGAAGTAGAGCTTCCCATCATTTACGTGGTGGTAGCCATAGCTCATCTGGAAAAGAAAGAGACTTTCTTTCTCTGTCAACTCGCCACTCGTTGTAATGTTTTCATCTGTGAATCGAGATCACTCCTTTTTGTTCTTGATCGCAAATCGCAAACTACATTAAATGCAGCCGGCCTATTTCCCTGGATGTTTCTCTGACCTGGAGATTTGAAGCCTCCGGGCGCTATCTAGCTAGTTGCCAGATGAATGTAGGCGGAGATCCAAAACAGAATGGTGCCACGGAATGCACTACACCTGTAAGTGCAACTTAAGCAAACAATTCCACCATTATGTGGAGAATGGAGACTGTGAAGTGGTCTCTCCCAAGGACGTCGAGGGCCTTGCTCCGAATTGAGTGACTTATCTGGCAGCGATCAAAGCGCTTGAGGAAGGCTTGTCAAGCTCTCACCCTGCACCACGCTGGAGCTGTGATGAGCGGATTAAACTCTGACATATTCGTGTCCATCCCTCCAAAAAGGTCTACACCCACGTCGACCAAGAGGGGGCCAAGAACCCCGTCTGGAACCAGAAGCTTGTCATCAGCGCTGCGGGCAAATTCACCATCGATCTTCCCCGCGGCCACATCCACGACAAGTCCATCGGCACCGTGGAGGTCCCGTTCAAGGAACTCCCACACGAGGCGCGATTCAACCCCGAGACCCCGTCGGAGATCCAGTACATGGCGTTATGAGATCCGGCGCCCCTCGGGAAGAAAGTGTCGCCACACAACAGCAGCAGTAGCAGCAGTAGCTGTCCTTCCGAGCCAAGCTCCCCTCCTC